CTCGACCCTTTCCCCTGGACGAGTCTTTCCTCCTGGGCCGTTTTGTTGACGGTCCCGAGGGCCGGCAAGGGCCCCCAGAGGCCAAAAGTGGCAACAGGACCGACCTCCCGCCGTGATTTGTTCCTTGCCCCCGAGGGGGTCTGGGTACGTGGTAGGATGGATGACGTGATCGTTTCTCCCAACCCCGTCCTCCAAACCAGATACTTGCCTTCCTGACCAAGGCGGGTGCGGAGAGAGGCCAGGCTGGGAGGGGCGGGAAGCGCCGAGGAGAGCACCGCCGCCGCGCACTCGTGAGGGTGCGAGGAGTAATCGGGAGCGGCCAAGAGGGGGATGTCCAAGAGGGGGGGGTGCAAATCATGACCGGCGGCACGTGCGCGGCCCAGCGGGGGGGCCTGGGACGTAATAAAGTAAGAAGAGGCGCCATGAAATCTGAGGAAAAATCATGGCCCACGCCATGATATCCATCCCCCCCTAGTCATCACCCCCCTCTTTTCCGCCCCCGAAAGGCGAAACCAGGACGAGGATAACATTGGGCGAGGGCAAATCGAGAATCTCTGAGAGCCGGCGGCTCCGGAGAATCCCTGAGATCCGGCGGCTCTGGAGGACGCCTCGGGCGCCACGGCCTTCCCAGAGCGCTCTGGACTGCTCACGTACGGGAATGATCCGGAACGGCCAGGGGAGACTCGTCCTCGTCCCCGGGCCCATGATCTTTTGTCATGGCGTCGACCCCTGGAGGTCTCGACCCATTCCCCTGGACCGATATTTTTTTCCTCCTGGGCCGTTTTGTTGACGGTCCCGAGGGCCGAGACCTCCCGCCATGATCTCCGCATGGCCCGAGGGGGTCTGGGTCCCAGCCCCGTGCGAGCGAGCCCAGATCCCCTCGCGTCCTGCAAAAAATCGCGACGCGAGGCTTTTCGCTACTCTTGGCCTCTGGGGGCCCTCGCTGGGCTTCGGGGCCGTCAACAAAAAAGGCTCGGGATGAAAAAAAAACCCGGCCCCAGGGAATCACGAGCTCTGGGGGCCGACGTTGACACAGTCATGACCCTGAGATCCTGGCGTTGCAATCTCTTCACTGCGGGCGCTTTCGCTCGACTTCCAGCCCCGGGACCCACACGGATCGACCCGGCTCGAAAGGTGGAGCAGAAAGAGGGGGTCCGGGGCTCTGGAGGCGATTTCTTACGATTTTGCATTTTTTTGCAGCGTCGGTAGCGAGGACACCCGAAACATTGAGCAACCAAATTCGTTGAGGTGTACGCTTCCTGCAATGACCCATCGCCAGGCCGCGTCTTGCTTTGATTTCGGGCTGCTGCATTAGTACAGGTTGCCCTCCAGGCGCACGGGCCGTCACCACTAATTTTCGGTCAAGCGGATGCAGGTTTTGGCAGCGTCGGATCTCAGGGGACCTCGGGGGTCGGGGATGGGGAGCGTGCAGGGCCGTCGGGCGATCGACGACGGCGAATCTCAGCGGAGGACGACGGCCGACGGCCCGACGGCCGACGGCCGACGGCCGACGGCCCGACGGCGACGGCGACGGCGACGACGACGCTCGACGACGCTCCACGACGAGGCCCTTGAGAGGCAGCAGGCCGCCGCGAGGAGTGCCGACCGTCGGGGGGTGGCCGACGGCATCGGCCGAGGAGGAGCCGAAGAGGCGAGGGTGCACGGTGAGACCAAAGAACTTTTCAGCTGTGGATGCGCAACTGTTTAATTCCTGGCTCTGGCTCATGCCAAAGAGTGACTTCTAGATTCGAACCTCGGCGGCACGATGAAACCAAAGAACTCTCAAGCTGTGGATGCGCAACTGTTTCATTCCTGGCTCTGGCTCATGCCAAAGAGCGACTTCTAGAATCGAGCCTCGGCGGCTACGGAAGCGCCAAACCATGCATGCATGTAATTACACGTGCGCTCTTGCAGCACATCATGCGGGGAGATGACTCGCAATCATGCCCTGCGCTGGCACGGCAACGATACTCCGAACAAGTGTGGAAAAGTGTGAAACAACAACATGTTTATCACACTTGTTCTTTGGCATGCTTTATCTCACTTGTGTTTTTAACCACACGTGCTTTTTATCACAATGCTGTTCTATCCTGCTTGTGATTTATCGCACTTGTTTTTTAAGACACGTTTTCATCACACTTGTTGTTGTATCACACTTGTGTTTGTATGACACTTGGTCGGCGGCGAGCCCGGGGGAAAGTGTGAAGGGGCACCCTGAGATCCAGGCGTTGCAATTTTTCCAACAAAATAGAAATATTTTAAAAATACCCCCCTAAATATTCAAACATACTCACAATTTCATACTCTGACTATTTTTGGTATGTCCTGTAGAGGGGCACGCCCGACTTGAGACGAGCGGAGGAGAGGGGCCTCCTCGATGGGGTCGGAGCCGACGGGGTCGGAGGATCGCGCCGCACCAGTGATGCATCGGCGGTGCGTTGGCGATGCATCGGCGATGCATCGGCGATGCACCGCGATGCCTCGGCGACGCACCGCGAGCCTCGGGCGACGCATGGGATCCGGGACGAAACGCCACCCCCGGGCCTCCCCTCCCCTCCCCTCCTCCTCACCTCCTCCTCCTACTCCGCCCTTCCTCCTCCTCCTCCTCCCCCTCCTCCTCCTCCCCCTCCTCCTCCGCCTCCTCGTCCTCCTCCTCCTCCTCCTCCTCCTCCTCCTCCTCCTCCTCCTCCTCCTGTGGGGCCTGTGGGGCCTGTGAGGCCGCGGACTGAACAGATCATGCCCAGAGAGCTCGAGAGGCGCGGGAGCCGCAGGGTGGCCGCGGGAGCTCCGCGCCGGCTTCTGTTCTCCCGCGCCGCTGCGACTTGGCTGCCGCGCGTCCCGCAAGGCCTGTGCTCAGCGTGTCCAGATCCGTGTGCCCAGAAACTCTCCAGAGGGGGTCTTTCGGAAGCTCTGCCCAAGAGCTTCCAGCCTTCTTCCACAGGCTCTCCCGCGCCCCTCTGGCGCCCTGCTGTCCAGGTTCCGGACCCCACAAATATCGGCGGATGTCCGGGTAGGCGGCATCTGGCGTTAAGTGGGGCCTGTCCCCTGGGATTTTCGATGAAAAATGAATAAATACACAGACAATAATCAAAACATAATCCAAAAATAGTCTGGGGACTATTTTTTGCATATCTTTTGACCTGTTTGGGGTATTTGGGGGGTATTTCTTATTCTTCGTCGAAAATCCCCCTGCAGGGGCACACGCCCGACATCAATCTGGCGCTTTGGGGGGCTCCTGGGCGTCTCTGGGAGCGCGCGCGGCCACCGCTGGCCTCGCCTCGGGCCTGGTCGGGGCCCGCCCCGGAAGAGGTCCGGGTGCCTCGTGGGCGAAGGCTCGGGTCGGGCGAAAGGGGGGGATAGCAAAGGGGGGGGGGGGGGGGAGAATCGGCTCACGCAGCTGCTTATCCCGGCGCCTCCCAGCGCCAGCGGCGGCTATGTATCGAGGGCGAAGATCGGGTCGGGCGAAAGGGGGGGATAGCAAAAGGGGGGGTTTGAGAATCGGCTCACGCAGCTGCTCTTCCCGGCACCTCCCGGCGCCAGCGGCGGCTGTGTATCGAGGACTGGGCCCCTCGGTGAGGCCGAAACCAGCTGCATGCAGCGAATTTCGTAATCCCCCAATCCCCTCCTTTCGTTCGGCCCGAGAAGAAGGAGATGCGGGGGAGGGGGGGGGGGGCAGAGGAGGACAGGGTGCCAATGAGAGGGAAGGGGGAGGAGGGACCCCTCCCCTCCCGCCCCTCCTCTCCCCTGCTCCTCCTCTCCCCTGGACTCGCACGCCCGCTCGTCCCCAAGACGCCTGACCCGCTCAGGTTTCGGCGCCTGCGTGCCCACGACAAGTGAGGCGGCGAGCAGGCGCCTGGATCTGACCGCTGGGGCCGATGAAGAAGTGTGGATCGTTTTTGCACGGCAAGGTTGGACAGTTCTTGACGAGGGCCGGAACCTACGACTGTCTGCACGGGTCTGGCCTGGTTGCACAAAGGTGCACCAGC